GAAGGATTATTATTATTAAAATGAGGGACCAAATGGTCTACTTTTGTGCTTAAGCATTTCATGATGCTAATTCAAGTGGCTACTTCTTTCATACAACTTAGACTGCATCCAAGACAGAAATATTTAAATATCATGTTCTAATAGCTAAAGGAACAACAGCAAGTCTGTGATGTTGTCTGCATAAGACAACTACTTACTGTAAACAGAAACCTTCACAAATTAGAGTAGTTTGTATTCCAATAGTCAATTCATATTTCAGAGAAACATTGACACATCAGGAACAGTGAGTGATGGCAGTGAGCTTGACAAGAAAAAGAGAAAAAAAACAGATGGATATATCTAAAGGAAAATAAATTCTAGGGTATTGCACATTGTCACCAGTTGCTCAGTGTTAAATCACTTGCATTAGTTTCTGCTTGTCATTGGTTTCAGCTATCATTGTTTCGAGGTATGGAATTGACAGTGAATTAATCATTCACTGCAGGTAAATCAATAAAACAAGGTTATCAAATGTTGTGACTGAAATTCAGATAGTTTGGGATTGACAATTTCAGTGTGAAAAAATATAACACGGGTTATAAATCAGCTAATATAATAATAATAATCCTTGCATTTGATATAGCGCTTTTCACGTCTTCTAGACGTCCCAAAGCGCTTCACAGAATAGACTGTAAAGTGAATTGACTGTATATTTGTGGGCGAACGCGGCAGCCAATTGCACACAGCAATGTCCCACAAACAGTCGTAGATTGAAGTTGACCAATTTATTATTGTTTTTTGTTTTGGAGGGATTATATTCTAGGCATGACATTTACCAATGTTTAAATCAATGTCCAGAGTCAATTTAAATAGGTTATGAAATGAAGCAAGGGGAGTCGAGGGGAAAGAATGTCATTATGAATCTTAGTGGAAGATGCTGTGCATTTTTAATGACATTTAAATATTATACAGAGAGAAAATGTAAGCACAGATGTGGTTCAAGGAGCCTGTTCATATTCAGGGACATTGGGGCATTGCTGTGCGCCAATTGGCTTCAGTAGTTACCTACAAAATGCGCAGTCACTACCCATCACAATAAATCCTGTGAGATGTCTGCCTGATGTGAAAGTCTTTATATCAAATGCCAGTTTTTAGGATTATTGTGATTTAACCCCTGTAAATGCACATGGTTAACATTGTTGCATTTAGCGAATAAATTTATCCATGATGTTTGGTTATGAGGTTTGACCACATACATTATTTGATTACTATCACTCTTCCATTCTGTCATCATATTGATTGTGTGTTGAGGTAAAGGCGCTTTAAAATTGAATTTAGCTGCTCTAGTGATTCATACTTACTCAGAAGATATAAAGTGATAGTCTACCTATATTTTTCTGCCCAAACGCTAAAAGATACCAAATGTCACGGAAACAACTTTAAAATACAAAGAGCAAGAACAACAACAAATTGCAATTATATAATGCCTTTCGCATCGGGAGGAAGTCCCAAGGTGCTGGACAGTCATGGGTTTGCAACCGAGCTGGGGGGTAAACAAGAACAGGAATTAATGAAACAATTCATTGCATTAGTTTATCCTCTTGCTATTTGGTTACATCCACCTTATTTTGACTTCCTGCCTTACTTCACAAAGTGCACTGAAACTTTTTCCGGCTTCTGAAAAATTTATACTTGTTTATTTGTTGAGCAGTAATCACATTGTCTTCCTATTCAGAGTTGACGGTTTAGCTATTTTTAGTAATGTGCAAGGTCTCTCGGGATATCGCACATTTGCATTGTTCATAACAGAAGCTCAATTTTGCTATTATTAGCTTTATTTTTCAGAAACACTTGGGTGATTTATTTTATGCTATATTTTATTAATAGTATTATAGGAACAGAACAAAGCCAATAGTTCCAAAATGTCAGTCTATCTTCCAACTATCAGTCTATGTCTTCCCATGATTGGATGAAAATACAACATTTCATAACAGATTTGAAAATGCAATGTTTCATAAATACAGTGCTCTGTAACAGATTTAATGTGATCAACCTCCCTAGTTCTCAATCCCTTTTCTCTTCAGCAAAGCATCCATTTTTTTGGTGAGCGAGGTTAGGCCACACTTACCCCCTGAGAGCTTAATCAGACTGAAATGCGTTCCTCACGGGTTTGATGGTTGTCACTACAGACAACCGTTTTCACAATCACCTGAGCAAGTTAAGCGACTGAACCAAGCAAGCCCGGCCTGAGCCCGTAGAGCAAGTATTCAAGCTAGTCCTGTATTCCAGTATCTCTGCTTCCTCTGTATGAGGGCGGATCAAACTCTTCAGATTGGAAGTAGTGCAAAACCGATCCCAACCAACAGCGGGTCAGAGGTAAAGCTTCTGCCAGGAGCTCAATCTTCTCGTAATGTATTACGGAGGATTCGGTTGTGGAGCTATATACAAAATATACAGTCAATTAATTTTATAGTATATTCTGTGAAGCGCTTTGAGATGTCTCAATGACATGATGAGGCGCTATGTTAAATGCAAGGATTATTGTTATATACACAGTGAATCTCAAAAGGAGATCTTTCTAGCAGGCACAGAGCCCAAGGAATTTTTTTTTATTTTATTTTTTATTCAAAATGTATATGTTCATGTGTTGGTATATATTTACGCTTGTCTCAGACAGTATCAAACCCGTTACAGAAAGGAAGACACAACATATTTTGTTGCACAATGAAACAGACTCGCCCCTTGTCGCAGGGTGGGGGGTGGGTGGTGGGGTTGACTCTGTGCACTCCACTTTGGCGCTTTGGTGAAGGGACCAAGGCTTTTTTCTGCCTCAGAATTCTCCCTCCTTTGCAGGGCACAGTTACAAATGGGGTCTTGTACCCCACCTCTCTATCCCTCCCCTCTTAGTGAGGAGCGTAGACAGGATCACAGCACACAGGTTGTGCACACATTTTTTTGGGACGCTCCCTTTAAGACAGTCAAGAAACGCCCTTGTGTGCTCTACATCCATATGCGTGCCCACACACAGCCTCATAAGGTGCAGTTGCCACTTTTGGATGGTGCCCCGATGTGCACTGTACGCTCACATGTTTACCCAAACACACACCTGGGAACCTCGCAAACACATAGATTTTAGATTCGTAGAATGTTACGGCACAGAAGGAGGCCATTCGGCCCATCGAGTCTGTGCCGGCTCTTTGACAGAGCAAGTCACTTTCACTAACCCCAATCACCAGCTTTCTCCCCATAACCCTGCAAACCCGTCTTCCCCAGATACCTCTCCAGTTCTCTCTTAAAAGCTGTTATCGAATCGGACTTCACTACCCTTTCAGGCAGATCATTCCAAATTCGAACAACTCGCTGAGTGAAAAAAATTCTTCTAACCTCCCCTCTGCTTCTTTTGGTAGATATCTTAAGACTGTGACCACAGGTCACAGACACACCTACCAGCAGAAACCCGTCCGGTCCCACCCATCACTAGGGCGTCCCTGCCAGGGTTCTGTTCCCGCTTAGTGGGCTAGCCGCGGCTCTGCTGTCATTTTACAGGACTGCGAGCCTTTATCTCCTTCCCTGCCGCTCCCACAAGGGGTAACTGATAAGAACAGATACTGCAATGATCTTAGCCAAAAGGCTGAGATTTTAATAAACCCATTTATACTGTATCTACTTGAATGACATTCTCTGGCAACTTATTAGGTAAATTTGTTACCTCTTACTTCCAACTTCTTAATGTGTAACTTGGGTCCTCTGTTATTGATTCTATCGTTTGTGGTGAAAAACGTTTTCGGGATCAACTCTGTCAATCGCTTTCAGAATCATGAAAACTTCAAGCAGGTTACCTCAAAGCTTCCTGTGACTTGCAAACCAAATGTGCAAACCAAAAAACAATTCAAACTTCCTCAACCTCTCCCCGTAGCTTAGATTTCTGATACCTTGATGCAATTATCTTGATGGCTCACCACTCAACCTTCTCAAGAGCAATTATATACCTATTATTCAGTTGCCCAGAATTGTCAGTGTTCCTGAGCGCCAAAGCTGTAAGCAGCAGTTCTCACTGCACCTGTAGCACAATATAATAATTGGTATAGCTATTTCATGTCAGGAGGATATCCCAAAATTCACGGGATATATTGGCTGTGTTCTGTGGATGAACCTTGCAAAGTAAATAATCAAGGTAAATAATTCTCTGACAATGGGTTTTAGACAGCAATTTAATCTTAGGTTAGTGATAAAGCTCATTAGAATAAAGGATAAAAAATATATAATATATAAGAACTATATATATATACTTGAGCTTTGGTCTCAGTGTTAAAAATCTTATCAAAACTATTGAATTGAATTACTGCTTTGCAATAATTTAGTGCTAATGATGAATATTCTCTATTACAAATATATTAGTAATGTTTATTGCCAATGCAATTTTTCTCATAATGAACATGCTTCCAAGTCTATCAGATGCTCTTGCTTCACGTTTATATATTAACGCTGTGTTCATACTGCAAGGTGAGGCAGTATCCAACAGGACAGCAATGTGGCGTTGGAGGTCTGAGTTGTACTTCATGTTTCCGGTCACACTGTTAAAAATCTAAGATACATATTGGCATTCTGAGTGTGCACAACCGAACACACAGCCAGTGCTGTGAAAAGTGTATGTTTCTTATTGTTATTAAAGAACTGGTCACGTTGATTAATTTTTTTTTGTAAAAGTCCCTTTAAAGGTATTTTGTTCTGCTCAAAATCTTCCTAGTACTTGGTGAGTAGATTTTTGAACAGATGTACTCCTGAAAGTTCTTTTTTAGGATCATCTCAGCAGTGAGGCACTGGCAATCCTGGTTTACACATCACTTTTCTTGGCAAATTGCTGTGACAGCATTGTGCTATAAACACAGCATCCATTTCTGCTTTCAGGCTGTCAATTTATTTTATAAGTTTTATTTCTGTCTGTGCAAAATAGTTCAAGTGCATTTGTTTGGCAGATTCAAAAATCGTTCGACTAAGCCAAATATAAATATTTTCAACAGAGGATGGACCTCCATGCTCATGCCCCTTGTGTACATCAGATAAAGGGAGCTACGTTCCTTCCTGTGAGGGTCTTCAACTCTCAAAAGAAATTGGAGCCACCTACCTGGAACTTCACAGTCTCAACGACTTCTATGTAGGGAAGTACTTTGGAGGTGTGGTGAGTATATGTGTAATGCTTTCATTGAGAACCTATTTCCATTTTCATTGTTTCAAAGTATTAATTATTTTACTCATAATTCACTGATTAGATGAATAGCTGGAAGAAGACATCCTTTCTTCTTTACTAATGTTGTTAGTGTATGTGTTATCAGTTAGCTGAAATATACTTCACCATGGGAATTCAAGGAGAGAAAACAATGAGACTAGCATTAATAACTAAACATAGCTGGTTATATGAAAGCGTCTGTAATTTGGAGTGACTAAGCTCAGGCTATTTGGACCTTATTGGTTACTCAGTAATACTACAATATTGATCATTAACTGGAAGCTTTCCTGTGTTGGATCCTGGAGTTAATTCAAGGAAACACTGTCCTTGCATAAGATGTGTTCATTTGTGGATGTTTCATTAATATTTTTATATATTAATCTAAACTATAAGTTGGTGAGTTATTTTGGTAATCGCCACTCATTTTAAATACACATTCTGTGAGTTGTTGGAGCTCCTGAGTGTGGCATGGAGTGGGAGGGATGTGGCTTCAGACCTTTACCACATGGCAAGTTCCTGATCTGCTTTGACCAACATGTTCAGACACAGGCACTTTCCCACTGCGAGAGAGGAAGAATAAGAGAGACAAGTCACCTTGAGCTGCTCTTATGTACCTCCTAGCAGCTGCTTATTCATCGTTGCTGGCATAGCTTGCTTCCCTGCATATTAGCTGGGATGAAAGGGAAGTCAAGGAGAGCAAACAGTAAAATGCTTTGAGAGCATTGAATCAGATTTCATTTGCTGGAATGACACAGATCCTTTAACAAATATTGCTGTGGGGAGCAATACTTTCTGCGAATCTGCAGGTACTGAATATTGTTTGTAATTCAATCCCTAAGTATTTCTATTCTGGGAACATTTGGAGACTCGTGAGTGCAAAGTGTAATTTTAATTTGGTGACTGTTTCCAGTGGCGATGTTCCTCTAACACTTCCTATCTGTATCTCAGATTCTTTCAAAAAAAATCTATGACATATCCATCATTATGACAGTGTGTCTTTCTACATGTGAGCAGGTTTCAAAATACCCCTTTGGATATTTCATTAGTGTTTAGCTCTGCAGTTGCCCCAGTAGTGGTAAAGACGCTTCTTTCAGCACAAGAGGACACAGGTTCAGTGTTGTAAAGGGCAATTTCAAGCCAGGAGCCGGAAAATATTTTGTTACAGAGAGAATTATTAACGACTGAAGTGGTTTGCCAAGAAGCGTGATTGAAGAATTTTGGAAGGATAAGATCAAAGGGCCTTCTTTGTCCTCACATTTCTTATGATCTTGTGAATAGCTGCTGACATTCGTTGTCAAACCTCACACATGAATAGTTGCCACTTGAGTGAAACGAGTACCTGACACCTGTGGAATCATAGTTGTCAATCAATTTATGTAATTATTTGAAAATATATATTAAAAAAAGTCTCTGCCGATTTCCTGCTATTGTTTTGTGTATTCAAAACATGTCCAGATACCAGTAAATCACACACATCCCTGATAAATGAAATGCAGATAATAGTTGTGCAGAGTTATTGACAAAATATTTAATATTTGTAAACAAAATTCAAAATACTGCAGATGCTGGAAATCTGAAACTAAAACAGAAGTCGCTGGGAACGCTCAGCAGGTCAGGCAGCATCTATGGAGGAAGGTAACTGAGTCAACGTTTTGGGTCCACGACCCTTCGTCAGAACGTTCTGACGAAAGGTCGTGGACCCAAAACTCTGATTCACTTTCCTTTCTCCATAGATGCTGCCTGACCTGCTAAGCATTCCCAGCGACTTCTGTTTTTATTTCACTTAATATTTGGTTTCTAAGTGTGAGGATGGGTGCAAACTCTGGCCTACAACTTTTAGCATTCTCGTTTGAATGGTAAAAAAGTTACTAGCATTAGGAGAGAGCACAGATTTTGTCCCTGGTTGGCAAATCCCACCTAGAAAACAAGTATTAAACCAAAGAAAGGAAGAGGCTAGAAAGTAAAATGAAATAAATCTAAGAATGACTGTCAGTCGAAGTGTAAAAGCTGATCTGGGAGGCAGTAATCTATGGGAGTTTTGTACTGCCTCCGAGTAAAGTTAAATACTACAAGTTCTGCTTAGGTGATGATATTTATTGGCAGAAATGATAATTATATCCAATGTTTAAAAAGTCTCAAATTTAATACCTATAATTCATTAGTGGGCTACAAAATACTCTTGCTACACTTAACAGTAAATCTTGTGAAGCATTTGCAACATCATCCAGACGTCAAAGGTACTATATAAAGGCAAGGATTATTATTATTGTTGTTGTTGTAACTCAGATCTGACTTATCTTGGACTTTTAGCAACTTACTCTCTGAAAGACCTTTCTTCTGCTTCAGGTATGTTAGCCATGTCCTTGAGCTCAAAGTTCAATGTAGCCTTATAGCAAATAGCTGAAACTAGATCATATGCAAGGATACATTACAGCTGATTACAGAGACCTTTCTGAAGATGACCTAACTAATCTGTAATGAGCTGTATTGTAGTCTTACAAGTGATCTAGTTTCAGTTATTTGTTATAAGGCTATATTGAGCTTTGAGCAGAGAAACCAATGGGAGTCTAAGTTGTGATCTTTGTAAACCACATAATTGGTTTGTTAATTGCTGCTTTTAGAAGTTATTTGATTTGAGAGATTTGCAAAACAGCTATTTTCAAATCCTTCAAATAGGACAAAACATGTAAAAAGTGAGCCCCAGTGAGCAAAACTGTTTAAAAATAGATCTCTGTTTGAATTGCTGAATTAGAAAGCTGCAATTATAATCCTTTATCTACACAACATTATGAATCTTTTATCAAGACCTGATATGCTGCACATATATACACATTTGCATTATGTCCAGAATCCTGATTATTGACCTAAAACTAATTTGGTTTAACAAATTTGCACTCCAGTAACTTAGCTTTAGCCTGGTCCCCAGCAATTTCCATAATTTTAGTTAAATTGTGCAACAAATTCTGGTCATTGCTATGAGGTGCTTTTTGATACTCAGATCTATTTTGATCACTTTATGTATAATTAAGACATTATTAGAGTTAAAGTGACTGATAGCCGAAGTTCAAGGACTGTAGTGTATAGTGATTGTAGTGTGTACAGTTCAGAATTATAAAGGAAGTATGATGGATATACGTGTATGTGAGTTTGTTCTTTCTTAATTTGGTGACAAATGCCCTGTAATGTATGGGACATACATTATATCAACAACAACAAAATATGTTGGACAAACAGTGGGCTTTGATAATATCAAAATATGTTTTTAGCTCTGACGCCAGGTTTATGGCTGCAAATATTTTAATGGTAAGGTGTGTTAATGTTAATTAAAGGCTTTTTAATATTTTCCTATTAACACTCCTTTCCTAACTCCCTTTTTTTCTGGTCGCAGGAGGGAGAAATTGGTATTACTATCATAAACTTTAATGTTAAATCAAATGGATTATCTGTCACATAAATGAATAGGAATTGGAGTCTCCATTTGATTTCATAAAGTATTAGTACATTTAAAAATATCCAGTGTTTCCCAATCATATTTTATTGGCTATGGTTGGTCAGCAAATGCATATTTACATGTGACTGCTAGGTGTTGGTCATAATACCTTTTATTCCTGCAGACTTTGGCTTTTGTTTCCTGATCCCTGACTGTTCAGCGCCTTGGGATGTCCTCCCGACGTGAAAGGCGCTTTACAAATGTAATTTTGCTGTTGTTGTTGCTGTTGTTTATTGATTTTACAGTTTTGTGAAAGTCTTAACATGGATGGTCGTATCAACAGAAACTGAAGGTCAAATAGTTTTTTTCATGAAATGTGGTATGCAGATAATGTATTCATTGCTGCAAAGGACCTCACTGATTTGCTAAGATTTAGATTTCTACAGTTTTGCTTATTTGCATTTTGGGAGATCATCCAATTGGCGCTAGAACCCATCTTCCCAACTGATTACTTGGCACCTACATATGCACTCTTTTATTCAGTGGTTGTATGGTATATTAGTCTTCGTTCATATACTTCTGGGTTCAATTTTGCAGTTGGAATACTTTATCATTCAGAGCTTGAAGCAAAAATCTTCTCAGAAAGATAAGAAAAAGAAAAGGAGTAGCAGGCTTCACGTAGCACCACCACCTCGACTGACAGAGCCAGGTAAGAGGAGATCAGACAGTGAGTAACAGAGCCAGGTAAGAGGGTCACCTCAGAGAAACAGGTATGAGGAGATGTAGTAGTGAAATGCCGTTGCCTTATGGGTCTGTAGTAGGGATGGAATGAAAGAAAGGTAGTTTTTTTTTTGCCTTTCTTTTATTCAATCCATGACTGTTTGTGCCTTGCTTCCTCCTTGCCTGTTTTCAGATTGCATCTGAAGACGACCTTCCTCTTTGACCGTGTCAATGGTCACCATCCCTCTCTCCCCGGGACAGCATCAAACTCCACCACTGTTAAGCATTCTTCGATACTACCTCATGTGAAGGATGCTGTATAAATGTAATTTGTTGTTGACAATCCAGTGCACTGCTGGGGTTTCACTGTATTGTTAGAGGTGCTGTCCTTCAAATGAGATGTTAAACCAAGGTTCTATCTGCCTGTTAAACAACAACAACAACTTGCATTTATAAAGAGCCCATCACGCAGGGTAGCCTTCAAGTTATTGATCTCATGGCACTATTTCAAATAAAGAAGGGAGTTTCTCCAGTGTTCTAGGCAACAATTCCCCAAATAAAATTGGTCATTAACTTCATATCTTGTGGAGGATATTTCTGCGTGCAAATTAGTTGCTTTGTTCGCATACAAAATACACATTCACTGCACATTAATGTAAAACCTTGTGAAGCGCTTTTTATTATTTTTATTATTATTAGTCTCACTCATCTACCCATCAAACTTCCCAAAGATTCCTTACTAAGGATTCCCTTTAGAAATCTCACAAGTTGTTATCTATTATCTTTGGTATTTAAGCATGCTTGTCATTAACTGTCTTTCCTGTTTGTCTTTTTCTCACAGTCAAGCTGCCTTGTTTGAAGATTGAAGACTCGCGGTACCACTGTGACCTATTGGGCCTTTTCTATAGCTCTCAGTGTGCAGATGTGGCATTTTGTTGCAAAGGTGGACAAGAAGTGGCCAGAGCTCATAGGGTTGTGCTGTGCACAGTGAGCCAGGTTTTTATGTTCCTGTTTGGTGTGGCGAATGCCTGTGAACTCGATGACTCTTCAGGAAGAAGCACTCTCGATCTGTTTGTCACAGACCCAAAGGACATTAAGCTGGCTCCTAACCAAGATCTACATTATAACAGACACCCTATAAGAGTTATCATTAGAGACTCGCTGCTGTGTGCCAGCTACCCAGAGATCTTGAAGTTCATTTACACAGGTATGTGAACTGTACCTGTGAGCACTTAAGAAACAATATCAAAAATATTGAGTGTGGGCGTCACAGCGCCTTGGGACGTCCTTCAACGTGAAAGGTGTTATACAAATGTATTGTTGCTGTTGTTTTGCATTGTCTAAACACTCCCATTTTTACTAACACTAAAAACAGATAATAATAATAATCCTTGCATTTGATATAATGCCTTATCACGTCTTCGAGATGTCTCAAAACGTTTCACAGAATACACTGTAAAGTGAATTGACTGTGTATTTTGTATATTTTGTGCAGATGCTAAATTAAGCCCGAATTGAAGACTTTTCCACCATTCTGTGCAATCAAAATGGTCTTCCAAGGTTTAAGAATAGGTGAAATTTGGGTCCATTGTGTTTACCTTATGTCTGTTCATTGAGCTGAGTCAGAAAAATTATCAAACTCTCTTTGTTGGGTTTGAAAAAATGCTGTTTGTGACAGGAGATTGCAGACAGTAATTCCTGCTAGTGACCACATGTGGAAACCCTGACCCACAGGAACTCTATTTATGGCTTGGGTTAGGTATTCAGAGGAACCTTGTTACAGTGCGGTTGGTTAGGTCCAATGGTCAATTTGTGGCTATTTCCACTAGTTTGGGATTCGATAACCAGGGGACACAAGTATAAGATAGTGACTAGGGGGACTCTAAAAGAGAATTTAGGAGGAACTACTTCACAGAAATGATAGTGAGATGGTGAAACTTGCTACCTGAAGCGGAAGTTGAATCAAATAGTATAGATGGTTTCAAGAGGATGTTCGACCTTCATGTAAGGGAGAAGGGAATAGAAGCTTATGGGAGGGATTAAAGGAATGGATGGAGACTTGTATGGAGTACAAACACTGGCGTAGACTGTTTCCTAGCTGTACATTCTTTGTAAATCTTTGTAAACTTCCAGGTTGACAGGTCACTGTCGATGTTACTTCCTATGCATTCCGCCCATGCACACTCTCCCATGCATTTGCACAGTAGGAGTAAAATGCTCCTTGACATGAATGTTATAAATTATTCCAGTATATTGTCAGACTATTTCAGTCATGAGAGCTTGAAGATCTTCCCACATTGACAGTGCCGTAGTACTTTAAAAAGATAAATCATTCCCCACTCAAGCAGCGGGAAAAAGTTCTTGTGAGAGGCTGACCTTTGATGGACTACTGAAGGATCTGCTACACAACAGCATATGACGAAACGTTTCAACTTGCCAGAAACTTAAAAAAATTAAAGAGATAAATGAATAACTTTATGTGCAATAATAGAATCCTATCAAAAGAAAGATTGTAAAGTTAAAAACAATAGGACAATAGGAGGAACAATTCTATTTACCAACCTTGGGAGCATATGTTTAGGAGATTTGCCATTCTTAGATGATATCTCCAGACATTTTAATGCCCAGCCAGTTGCACTCTCCTCTCCCCTCCCACTTCCTCTTCCCCATTTGCAAACTCAGAGAATCGCTCTTTTTTTTTGCATTTGTTTCAAATCATTGTGCTGGTGATAAAACTGAATTTTCTTTTCTCCCAATCTGTCACTAGGGGCTGACCTTTGGGAGGAGCTAGAATCCACCCTGTGTAAGAAGCTGACAAACGCAGAACAAGCCAAGCACGTACTGGAGATTGTAAAATGTCTCGTCCCATGTAATGATAAGGTACGCAGTCGATTGATTTTACACAGTACTACTGTCTGGTGCAGCAGAAAAAGCACTGCCAAAGTGGACATTTTCACATCAAACGTAGAGAGAAAGAACCAGCAGGAAATCTGACTTCTTTTAACCTTCCCCCCCCTCTTGGCCCCAACAGCATAGAAATCGCGTTCCATGGAGTATTTGTTCATTTCGTTCTGCAACATTTCCTACATCCTTACATACGTCCATGCTTATCCAGATTTTGGGTAGTTATTTAAGGGAGCTATTCAACAGTATAAACTGTTGGGAATCTGTTCTACATATTTTTGTCTGGACTAATTGGTCTTCGCTTCATGACCTTTCGTGGGACTTGCTTCAAAATGAAGACAATATATAAGAATTTGCCAAATTCTGAACACTCTAAAATAAACAGAGTAAATCTAAATACAGGTGGAATTTCTTCACTTAGGGATCATCGTTGTTGATCTTTTTAACATCAACAACAACAACATTACATTTATAGAGCGCCTTTCACATCAGGAGGACGTCCTAAAGCGCTGGAACGTCTCCTACTCCTACTTCACTTCATTGATTCAAAGTATTTAATTCATGATCAAAATTCACACTCAGATCCATGTTCACCTTTGTCAGCAACAAGCTCGTCAAACTCTTTTACATGAAAAAAACACCTCAATCCTTAGACTAGAATATTCAACAAGTCTACCTGTCCCGGTGGATGTAAAGATCCCATGGCACTATTCGAAAAGAAAAAGAAGGTTTTTGGCCAACAACCCTGCAAATAAAATTGGTTACTCACAAACTGGTTGTTTGTGGGACATTAACAATAAATAATAATCCTGGCATCTAATATAGTGGTTTTCACATCGGAAGGATGCTTCAAAGCACTTCACAGAAGTTGGCTATTGTGTTTGCTACAAGGACACAGTCACTACACCTTATATTAAATTCTGTGCAGCGATTTGAGACATATCAGATATTGCATTCTGGTAATATTTTGTCATTTAACAGTGTGTTTTGTGTAAACTAACACAAAGCAGCAAGCTTTCTCTTTACAATGTATAAGGTATAATGGAACTTTTAAACAGTGTTAACAGTAATTAGTGATCAGCCTGCACATGGAATGAACATTTGAAACAATTTGTAACTAACTAATTTAAAAAATATCTTTGATACCAGATAATAATGGGACAAAATTTGCAGTATTCCTTAAAGTGTTTCTTGTTTAAAGAACCTTTTAAAGAACACTAGTGGGTGCCAGGTAAGTTCTCCAGGGACGTTCCTCTCAGGTACGTTCTCCAGGGACATTCTGCTCAGGGTTCCAGTGCTTTGTTATCCCGAAGTGATTACGATTATATTGCGTACATTGGACTCAAGGTTATTTTCTTTGATGAATGTTGATTTTCTGGGAGCATATCTACCTAGGAAGGCACAAATTTGTGCTCTGCCAGACCCAAAAAATTACATTTGTTATGGGCCCAGAGCCCAGAGGCTACGGGCTTATTTATGCCTGCCTGATCCATGAAAGTTAATGATTTGGCCCAGTAGAGCATGCATTTCGGCCCTTCCTGGCAGATTAATTCTTGGATAGTAACATTAAGTGAAATCCCTAGACAAAGGCACCACTGTTGGTGTTCCTTATATAAATTAAGGAACATTTTAAGGAAAACTGCAAATTGTATTTACAAAGTGGCTGCTCTAATTGTGGGAATTGTCTAACACTGAACTCGAATGAATAATGTAGCTAGTGAAACATCTGGCATTTGATCATATGGAACTGTGTGCAATAGTTGGGGAAGTATTCTTTAAATAACAATAATACTGCATCACCAGAATGGGAAATCACTGTTACAAATAGCTCTCAGATCACTGCTGGTGGCACATCCTATTTCCTCGACAAATATAGGCTGGTATCCCCAGGGAATGGGCAGTCAACCAGGTCACGGGAGTATTGGAACAAGCAAAAGTATTCAGCGTTGTGCAGCTGCACATAGACTCACTCATGGAAACTATAATTCCCAGACCCATGCTTAAATATTTTGCTAGAACCTCAATTCTGATTTTGGAAGATTCAATCGACAGAGTTGAAAGAGCTGTCTGAGGAAACAGGAATGATGAAATCTAGCTGTGTTTGTTTCCTATCTTCCAGATGCTGTGTTCCAGCCCTGTCACCACTAGAAGATCAAATGCAAAAAGATTGCCTGAAAGCCACTGCTGCACCCTAAGCCTTTTCTTCAAATCGCTCGTCTTGGCTGATGTGGTCTTTAAAATACAAGGTACAAAGTCCAGCGTTGACTGAAGGAGTGAAACCGTTCACCCCAGTGGATACGGGCAGCCTGGTGTGTGTGAATCCAAAAAACAGTTAGAAAGTTGTATCTTACAGAGGCAGAAGAATTCTAACCGCAGTGGTCAGATGAAACCTTATAGTTTATGAGTTAATTCCTCAGATAAAGAATCCTTGCACTAAAATCCCTTTAACAGATTTGTTTCTGCTTACAATGTGGGGGTAAAACAAGAACAAAAGGTAAAGTCCAAATGTGCAATACTAGCCAGCCTTTCTGTAAAGGAATTTGTTTTTGCACTACACAGGGAACGGGTGGTTTGTGTTGTTCGATTCTCGTGCTTCTTGTACTTTTCTTTCTATCTGAAAACAATTGGTCAATATCAGAAAATACTGCATTTAACTCTTATCTTGGTGGAGGGCTGAGTGGAATCCATTATGATTGGAATACTAATCCAGCTCTCTGACTGGAATTACGTGGGATTTAACACTCGGTAATAGAATTGTGAAGAAAGGTGGGAGTGTTCTTTAAATAAATAAGCGGCGTTATATATCAGAAAAATAGAAAATACCAGTTGCAAAGAAGAATTGGTGTACAATTCGTAAGTTGTGATTGAATGTGCAAAAAACACATCGTAGCAGTAATCCCACTCAGTTAAAGTACTATTTACAGAGGCAGAAAGAGTCCAGAACATGGCAATAAATAACAGCCGTGTTTGTATTGGGCAAGTGGCATTGGACAATGCTAAGCGGTGTTTTGATCAATCCACAAAGCATTGTATTTTATTATTTCAATGTTGTGCCTGATCTGAGAGACTTATAAATCATGCATTTGGTGTTATTTCAACCGAAATGCATCATTTTAGTTGTTGCAAATTCTTCTTTACAACTGGAGATACCAGTTTGAACCCATATACAGTTATTTCACTTAAATTTCTTTGTTATACTTTTAAAGCCTACTAAGCTCTTGAACTACTGAATATGCACTGATGAGAGGATGAGTCAATCATGTTCTGCCAGGTCTCCTTAGCAGCAGTCAACTTCTAAGGGATACATAACAGCAGCTTATGTGATCTTACTTTATTTTTTTGACTTGAGATCTATCTCTGAGCTACAACAACAACTTATATAGCACCCTCTATACAGGACAGCATCTCAGAACTCTTAACAGTGGCGGAGCCTGACTCCAAGCCGGGGGGAATTGGAGGTGGCTGTAAGCACCGTTGAAGAGGAAAGTTTTCAGGCGGGACTTGAAAGAGGGGAGAGAGGGGGCAAGGCAGAGGGACTGAGGGAAAGTGTTCCAGAATTTTGGGGTGTAGTGGCTGAAAGTGGCCGATGGTGGGGCGGAGAGTGTGAGGGACGAGCATGAGGCCGGTGCCAGTCGAGCGGAGGGGCTGGGTGGTGGACTGGGGAGTGAGGAGGTCAGAGAGGTAGGGAGGTGCCGGGGAGTGAATGGATTTGATGAGCTAATGCTGATGCAGCCTGTCCCTAACATGGTTTACTTTGTACTTTGACAAAATCTGGCATATTTACTCCATCTCAGATGAATTTTAAGGGGCTTGAATGCACTCGGCTTTTTTTCTTTTGCCAACACATTTTGAAAATGAAACTTGTTTTGCCCCTCATATCTCTGTAGTTGCACTGGTCGGGTGTTAACCTAGGCAATTGATAGCTCATGTGCAAAAGTTGCCTTTCCATGATAATAACATGAAACTTGAACCGTCCAAGAGAGGAATGCAAATTATCCAGAGAAGTTGTGAATTTGTGTTGAGAGAAATTGTTCAAAGATCAAACACTAGAGGTCCTAAATTTTGTTGTTAAAAATGACTTATGCAAATTAAGATGGGTGACGTAATTTGGGGAGTTCATAGGGAGGCTAGCATTAATTGTAGCCCTAAATTCCTGTGAGTTGTTCGTGCCTATTTATTGGCAATACAATAGTCCTGTGCAAATCATTAAATAGATCTTAGCTCAGCGTGAGTTATGCAGCACAGCGGCTATAGTTGTGCAGAATTTCCCCTTGAGAAGAAAGCATTCACAATAATAAATGCATTTGATATAACCTCTCATCACGTCTTTGAGACGTCTCAAAGCGCTTCACCAAATATACTGTAAAGTGAATTGACTGTATATTTTGTGGGCGAAACTCATTCATTTCTCCACTATACTGTCCCCATGTTAAAGGACACATGCAAGATGCTTGTGTGCTTGAATCTATGCCCTAAACATTATCCCGTTCTATTCGTGTCTTTGCTCTAGCTTTCAGTTCATTGAGTACCATCCTAACCTTCATCCAGAACAAGTTGAGCCTCTGGCTGTGACTTCAGACATCCATTCCTAATTTCCCTACGCTGCATACAGTAACCAGTGGCCCTGAAAATAATAATAACAATCCTTGCATTTGGTATTGCGCCTTTCACATTGAGAGGATGTCCCAAAATGCTTCAAAAGGATTTTACTGTTTTATTTTTTATTTTATGAAAATTTTATTTTCTAATTTTAAATTTTATTTGTTGTTAAGTTTTACCTCTGTAGTTGCACTGGTCGGTTTATAAAATCTATAGGATTTTATAAAAAGATTTTCTTTCCTTCTCATGACTGCCACTGCTTGGGCCGGCTGGCACCTGAAGCTAACTTACACTTTACTCAGGTGAATGTTTCCCTCTTGACCTCCTTATTGTGACGATCGATAGGTTCCATCTGTCATTGCAGGATCACGTCAGAACATTGAACACACAGTCTAGGCTGACACTGCAACACAGTGTGGGGCAAAGCTCCACTGTCAGAGCTGCTGTCCTTCGGATGAGGCATTAAACCAAGGCCTGTTTACGTCTTCAGGTGGACTTTAAAGATCCCATGGCATTATTTGAAAAAGCGAAGGGAGTTTCTCTCGGTGTCCTGGTCCACAGTCCCCCAAATAAAATTGTTCATTCACCCCATGGCTATTTGTGAGATTTGCATACAAATTGGCTGCAGAGTTTGACTGCAAAATACACAGTAACTACACTTTACAGTAATTCATGTAAAGTGCTTTGAAATGCCTTGACAACGTGATGAGGTGCTATATCAAATGCTGGGATTATTATAAATCCTGAATAAATCCATGTTTTGTCTCTCGAAGGTACGGTGGTGCATGCTCACAGAGCAGTCCTGGTAGCTCGCTGCGAGGTAATGGCTGCAATGTTCAATGGTAACTATGCTGAAACAAAAGCCTGCCTGGTGCCTATTCATGGGGTTTCCAAGGAAACCTTCCTCTCTTTCTTGGAGTATCTGTACACTGATGCCTGCTGCACAGGTAAGGAAACAATTCTGTAGAGATGCAGGCTAGAGGTTGAGGTGTAAATAACAAGGTGGCCATTCTATAATAATAATAATAATAATCCTTGCATTTGATATAGCGCTTTTCACATCGGGAGGACGTCCCAAAGCGCTTCACAGAACACACTGTAAAGTGAATTGACTGTATATTTGTGGGCAAACGCGGCAGCCAATTGCGCACAGCAATGTCCCACAAACAGTCGTAGATTGAAAATGACCAATTTAATTATTGTTTTTGGTTTTTTGGAGGGATTATTATTAGGCGTGTGGAGTAAGGAAACTTGCCCAAGGTTTCGCCCTGCCTGGAATTGAACTCAGGTCTCTCACTTGCAAAGCGAGTGCTCTAACCACTGAGCTACAGGACTCCACAACTCTTTACACCTTCGGCGCTGACAGCATCTCCCGCATTGGATGCACTCTACATCTCACGGAGCAATACGGAACCTCAGCGTCCTGTTCGACTCTCAACTGTCCTTCATACCCCAACATCCATGCCATGACCTGCTCTGCCTTCCCCCAACTCTGCAACATTGCCCGGTTCTGCCACTGTCTCCCACCAAAGGCTGCCGAGACCCTCATACATTCATTCATAACATCCAGGCTCGACTATGCAAAGCCTGTTTGTCGGCCTCCCCAACTCCTCTCGCCGTAAGCTGCAGATCATCCAGAACTCTGCAGCCCATGTCCTCTCCCGAACCAGGCTCTGTGACCCTATCACCCCATCCTCGCCTGACTCCATTGGCTTCCCATCGCACAGAGGATACAGTTCAAGATCCTGGTCCTCACTTTCAAAGCCCTCCATAGCTCCCCCCTACCTCTGCAACCTCCTAACCCCCTACCAACCTGCCCGCTCCCTCCACTCAGCGGACTCTGGCCTGCTTCACGTCCTCCGCCTCGCTCGCCCCATTATTGACGGGCAGGCCTTCAGCCACTTTGCTCCCACCCTCTGGAACTCCATCCTGTAGTCCCTCCGCCTCGCCCCATCCCTTGCCGCCTTCAAGAACTATCTCAAGACCCTCTTCTTCCACCGTGCCTTCGGTCAACCTCCTGCCCCACCCCACCCCAATTCCAACCCCCAGCTCGGGGTCCAAAACTGATTGTCCAGTGCCTTGGGACGTTCTTCTGACGTGAAAGGCGCTATACAAATGTAATTTGGCTGTTGTTAATCTTTCTTTAATGCTGCATTCAAAGCAATAGCCAGCAATATAAGCATTGGATTAGCTGTAAATATAAACAATGATTTTTTGGGATGGATTTCTACAGCTTAATGTAATTGAGAGTCACCATACGCAACCCAATCTGTTCCTGCAGATCTGCTAAGTAACTTCATAGTCATTCCTCCTATTTGGGAGTCAGTTTCTAAGTCTGTGTTTTTGTGTTTCCTGTTTCACTGATGAAACCAGGTTCTCTCTCTGCTCGAGGCTAAGTCACAAAGTCACAAATGCAGATAGATGCGCACAAATGCAGCTAAAAGCAGAACGTTGTCTTCAAATGACTAGGGTTCTCTGAAATTTACATGCTTGCTATTTTTATTTGTTTGGGATATGTGAGTATTCTTTGTGAGAATCCTTGAAGATGATCCCTTAAGGCTCCCACACCCATATGGGAAGAAATTTCATCTGAATCTAGATTTTCTTAGCATTTCAAAGCATCCAGAATTTGGCAAATTGTTGAATTCAGCCTGTCAGCCTGGCTCAGATGTCAGCCTGGCTCAGACGTCAACCTGGCTCAGACGTCAGCCTGGCTCAGGTGTCAGCCTGGTATGTTTTGCCCACAAAATGTATAGTCAATTCACTTTACTTTATATTCTGTGAAGCACTTTGAGAAGTCTCAACAATGTATTAAGGCGCTGTATCAAATGTAAATATTATTTGACGGTGAATGAAGTATTTAAAATAATGAAAGGAATTGACAGGTTAGATAGTGGGCAACTTTTCCACTTGGTTACAGGGATCTGCTATCTGCCTTAAAATCAGAATCAAGGGAGTTAAATGTGAGGTCAGGTAACATTTCTTCCCAGAGAAGGTTATGAAGGTGTGGAAGATTCTGCCCCAGAAAGCTGTAGAAGTGGAATCAATGATGATGTTTAAAAAATAGATAGTACTTGGGTAGTTGACGTATGATGGTGACAACGTAGGGTATTGGGATTAGAATATCTGACAAGGTCTAATAAACTGGTGGAACAGGCTCAGGGGGCTGAATGGTCTCCTGCTGTGCCTGTTGCCTCTGTTCCTATATCAGTCTGGCTTATTATAGTCTTACAGTAAGTGCTATATCAGATGCAAAGGATTATTATAATTTGATCTCAACTTTGAAGCCTATTTTCTGTAGATCCTGTGCCAAATTTTAATGCTCTGAAACACTAGGAAGATAAGAGCAAAACTACACTCTGTCGTCAAAAAATAGTTTAATATTTGTAAATCCATGACTCAGTTGTATGTAGTTATGTACTGAGGGTCTTGACAAGATCAGAACTGGCTGATGAAAGTCAAGGCAACAATGGGGGATGGTAAAGTTGTGTATTAAGTATTGTTGACCTTAATACTTTTAGCAGGATGGTTCTATGCTTTATCGACTTGTTTAATTTTTTCCCACCAGCCAGCATTCTCCAGGCCATGGCCCTGTTCATTTGCGCAGAAATGTATCAAGTACCCAGACTGCAGCAGATCTGTGAATCGTACATTGTCACTCAGCTACAGAGCATGCCCAGCAGAGAGCTGACATCAACCAATCTCAGTATTGTCAATCTACTGAAAAAGGCCAAAGTAAGTACACAATTGGGGAACTGAAATATGTGGCTAGTTTGTCAGGTAGCGATTTTTTCTTTTCTGCAAAAATAGCGTTTGTTTTACACACATGTTTGAATTTCATTACACATTTGATTGAAAATAAACTTTTGGATATAATGATAATAATGATGATCCTTTGATATAGCGCCTTATCACATCTTCAACGCATCTCAAAGCTCTTCACAGGATATACAGTAAAGTGGATTGACTGTGTATTTTGTGGATGAAACAATATGGATGCAAGTTAAAATAGGGCTTTTGAGCTGTGAAAATGAGTTCTCTGAGGGGCCCTATGAAGGTAATAACAATGAGAATCCTTACAATTGTGGTAGCGCCTTTCACATCAGGAGGACATCCCAAAGTGCTTTTCAGGATTTATTGTAAAGAGTAGTGACTGTTTTGTGGGCAAGCATGTTTACAAGATGCTAAATAGGATAGAGGACATTAGAGAACAAAAATGTCAGATTTTGTTATGCGGAGAAATTTCATCTGGGTTTTAGATTTATTAAATTTTTTATGTTGCATTTTAGATTGTCCAGATTTAGGCAACTTCATAAATTTATTTTAACATTGCAAGTTTTCAGCAGCTGTTAAAAGAACTTGTGTGTGAATCTGGAAGAAGAGAGGTAGATTTGAGTGTCATCAGCAAACATGTGGAAATTTACATGCTACTAGTTACAAACATACAAATTTAAATATACATAACTGAATCTGAGGGCATCTGTTAATAAATGCATGTGATGTAAACAGCACTTGGAAGTGTTCTGTGGGTTGTGTAATGCTGCCAATGTCGTCAGTCAGCATATCTGCTCTGCCCACTGGTGGTGACAGAAGTGAGTGTTTGCATTGGGAGTAGACGATGGTGTTAGAAAAGTTGGTCATAATGTGTTGGATTACTTCATGATGTGCACTGGGGCCAACAAAGTTTTGGATCCCTTTTAGTTGGCAATAGTAAAAGGATAAAGGGTCAGAACAGCAGTTACTGATCACTGACTTAAATTGTCTCAAAGCACTTCACAGAGCTTTCTGTAAACAACAAACAACAACAAAATTACATTTGTATAGCGCCTTTCACATCGGGAGGACGACCCAAGTGTATTTGTAGGTGACACAGCAGCCAATTTGTGCACAGTAGTGTCCTACAAATGGCCAGGAGGTGAATAACCAATTTAACTGGAAGATTCTTGGCCAGGACACTGGGAGAAACTCTTCTCTTTTTGAATTGTGTCTTGCCTTCTTTTAAAATCTACATGAATAGGCAGACAAATATCAAATTAATGTCTTGACTGAAGGACGGGACCTCCAACAAAGCAGTGTTCCTCCAATAGCGCATTGGAGTGCCACCTTAGACCGTGAGCTGGTCATAATAATCCTAATAATAATATTTTTATTTGATATAGCACCTTTCAAGCCAGGAGAATGTTTCAAAATGCACCACAAGATTTGCTGTAAAGTGTAGTGATGGTATAATTTTGTAGGTGAATGTGGCAGCCAATTTGCACACAGCAGCCTGAAGTGAATGACATATCTTAACATCTCATCTGAAGGAATGGGACCTCTGATAATGCAGAGTTCCTCCAGCACTGCTCTGGAGTGTCAGCCTAGACTGTGAGTTTAAAGATGTAGGGCTTGAACTCACAACCTTAAAGCCAAGAGTGGTACCAACTGAGTCTAGCTGACACCTACTTGGGATCCATAGAAAGGTACAAATTTGCTACACTTGAAGTCAACTTTACAAGGAATCTACTTAATCTAACTCCAGGTCCTGGTTCATTCATTTTAAATTTCTTTTCTCCAAAAATTAATTTAAGTCCTTAACAGATATTATTCCAAAATGAATGACTATACAGTATTATGAAAAGGATCATTACTCTTAGCACTTTAATAGTTAAAAATATTGTACAATTGGTGAAGCCTAATCTCGGGATTAAACAAGACACTGCAGCCACCTTCAGGAGCCTTTATAAATAGATGGAAAACTTGATATGGTTAGAGGTTTACATACCTCCACACCTCAGGCGCTGACAGCATCACCATCCATGGTTGCACACTCCACCTTACTAAGCCAGTCCAGAACCTTGGTGTCTTGTTTGACCCTCAACTATCCGTTCTGTGCCATGACCCTCTCTGCTTTCCCCCACCTCAGCAACATCGCCCGACTGCCACTGTCTCACACCGTAGGCTGCCGAAACCCTCATACATGCTTTCATTACATCGAGGCTCGTCTATGCAAACTCCTTGCTTGTCGGCCTCCCCAACTCCTCTCTCCACTGGCTGCAGATAATCTAGAACTCTGCAGCTCGTTTCCTCTCCCACACCAGGCTCCATGATCCTATCACATCCATCCTTGCTCGACTCCACTGGCTTCCCATCACACATAGGTTACAGTTCAAGATCCTGGTCCTCACCTTCAAGGACCTTCATGGTCTTGCTCCCCCCTACCTCTGTGACCTCCTAACCCCCTACCATCCAGCTCGCTCCCTCCCCGATCCTGACCCGCAGCTCAGGTCCGAAACTCTTACTGTACAGTGCCTTGGGACGTCCTCCTGACGTGAAAGACGCTATACAAATGTAATTTTGTTGTTGTTGTTTACTGCTCTTTTGCAGGTGCCGAAATAGTGACATAAGTAGAATTACTCATGATATATAAAACAAACAGATAGAAGAAAAAGTGCATAATGTCTTCCTGAACTTTATATTTGGTTGGGGAAAAAGCAAGTGTTTACTGTGAACAAGAGCCTGCTTGTCATGGGACACATTGACCTAATAAGTGTTGCAAGACCGGAACTGAAATGTACGGTCATTGGATGTTACTCCAGGTGGGCGAACAAATAAAATCTTGTTGCTCTTGGGACATTACAGTGAACTAAGTTTCAACATCATAGATCTGTCGTTAATGGGAAATCTCAATATATCAGCTCCACACTCCTACACAACCAACAGTGAACTGTGCAAGCCATTTTTGTGATTGTGCCAAGTGGGTGAATGAAGTTTGGGGCAGTATAAAAAAAACCATAAAAGGCAGCATTTGTGAAGTTGGATTTCTTAGATTTGGAATTCCCAATGAAAATATTTCTGGTGTCAGTGCAAGCAGTGCCAAAGGCAGCAACAACCAATCAGGCCTGATAGAATACTGTCCTCTGTCTTTTCTGTAATAAGTGTGAAGTGTGAAATTTGAAGAATTTTCCTCAGATGGCAAAGAATTAGTTTGGAGAGTTGAGTGGTTTTGATATCTTTGTGCACATATTGTACATAACCCACACTCAGCAATCTTAATGTATAAGCAGAATAATGAATCAGCAGCGTTTGCACAAAATAACATTTAAATAGTGTTCATTTTTATGTTTTATGTTTAAATTAAAAATCAGATTTTCATCAGTATGGCAAATCAGTTAAGTTCAAAACCAGTTTTGGTGTCACTGATATCATATGTTTCATTAGCTGGTATCAAGCAGATCACAGATAATTGCTAGATTGGGGTATTTATTGAAAAGACAAAGTGAATTCACCATTACAAATGTATGAGCAGTAAATAGTAATTTAGGAAATAAAATACATGATGCAGAAGAAGACTAAGGCATTTAGTATAATATAATATGCATCAGTATAGGAATGGAACCTTTACTGGGGTAATACAGCCTAAAATGTGAATAAGAAAATTCCTGTATTACTATATACCCATTCTGCCAGGATAAATATTGAGAATACCTAACATTTTACTTATTTGGAATACATTAGACCAAGCATTGTTCTTTGAGATTTATTTTTACTCCAGACATTCAATACTTTTAGAGCACTTGCCTTGCAAGTGAGGACTTGGGTTTGATTCACAGCAGGGCGAAACGTTGGGAAAGTTTCCTTACTCCACATGCCTCGGTTTACCTAGCAGTAAGTAGGAACCCAGTTGTTAATTGATTGGCGGATCGCTTTTCTGGTCGTAATAATCCCTTAAAAAAAACACTCAATACACAAATGTTTGTGGGGCACTGCAGTGCACAATTGGCTGCTGCGTTCCGCCCACAAAATATAGTCTATTCACTTTACAGTATATTCTGTGAAGCGCTTTGAGACGTTTCGAAGATGTCAAATGGAAGGATTATTATTATTATTGTTTAACATGTTCAGGTGCCAGTTTGGCTCAGAGGTAGCACCTTAATGTTGGAGTCAGAAGGTTCTGGGTTCAAGGCCTACATTTGGACCTGAGTCTCTAATCACAGCTGAACTTGAAAGCATGTTGGGGGAACTATATTTTCAGAGGTTGTGCCCTTTGTGTGAGATGTTAAACTAAAGTCTCTTCTGCTTGTTCAGATAACATTAAAGATCTTGTGGTATTAATCAAAAAGAGAAGAGTTTTGGGTAACAATTTTCCAAATATAATTGGCCGTTCTCTTCATGGCTGTGTGAAAAGGCGCTGTATTTTTTTGGTCAGCTGGGTGTCTGACACATGGAAAACTCACCATGCTTAAGAATATCCAAACCAAGTTGAAATTTCCATACATACATCCCACCTACACATGGCAATCCCAGAGATTGTTGGAAAGTAATGTGTACTCTCTCCCTGGAGAGATGCATCCTGCTTGTCTAATTCCAAAAAGTATTAGGTGCAGGTTGACAAGAGCCAAGTCTTAGATCCCTCAGAGTACGCGTTGGGGTACTGCTAGAGTTTAACCAGCTAAAACCACATAGCTTGCCATTGAAAAGGCACTGTATCAAATGGAAAAATGTATATAAACAAATTACATACAAATCATTAAAAAGCTCTTACAGTCATGTACACGAAACTATTGACAGTCTTAATAATTTATTCTATTAATAATATTAAGAATACTGAAATGTATCGGTATACTTGCTCGGACCAAACTCTGTACCAAAGCTGCACTCTCCACCTCTCAAAGCCAGTCAGGAACCTCGGTGTTCTGTTCGGCCCTGAGTTGTCCTTTCTCCCTCATATCCGCGCCACAACTGGCACCGCCTTCCATCACCTCCGGAACATCGCAAGACTACCGCATTACCTCACCCCTCACGCTGCTGAAACTCTGGTCCACGCCTTTATCACCTCAAGGCTGGACTATGGGAACCTCTCCTCGCCGGCCTTCCCGCCACCTCCCTCCACACTGCAGGTCATTCAGAACTCTGCAGCTCGTGTAATGTCCCGCACCAGGCTTCGGGACCACATCACTCCCACCCTCGCTCGCCTCCACTGGCTCCCCATCCCCCAGAGGATCGAATTCAAGATCCTCATCCTCATCTACAAGGCCATTCACGGCCTCGCTCCCTCCTACCTCTCCAACCTACTATCCCCCTACTTACCTGCCCGTACCCTCCGTTCCTCTGGCTCCGGTCTGCTCCACATCCCCCGCCCCAACCGCCCTACCATCGGTGGCCGGGCCTTGAGCCTCTCAGCCCCGAGGCTCTGGAACTCTATTCCCAGTGCCTTCGCCGCCTCCTCCCTTTCCTCCTTCAAGGCCGGTCTCAAGACCTTTCTCTTTGACCGTGCCTTCAGCTCCCCTCTCGACTCTCTACCCCCTCCTCACTCCCTCCCTTCCCTCCCCTCACCCTGACCATTTCCCCCCTGCTCGGGTCCTGACCCAACTGCACAGCGCCTTGGGACGTCCTCCCGACGTGAAAGGCGCTCTATAAATGGAATCTTGTTGTTGTTGTTGTTGTACCTCCATCTTGCTTGTTCTGGCTATGCTCCACTGGCGAACAGATCGACTTCAAGATCCTCACACTTATGTTCAAATCCTTTCACTCTCTGGCACCTCCCTCCCTCTCCGACCTCCTCACTCCCCAATCCACCACCCGGCGCCTCTGTTCGACTGGCACCGGCCTCCTGCTTGTCCCACGCGCCCTCCACTCCACTATTGAAGGTCACACTTTAAACCACTATGCCCCAAAACTCTGGAACACTCTCCCTCAATCCTTCGCATTGCCCCCTTTCTCCCCTTTTCCAAGTTCCACCTGAAAACCTTTCTTTTTGACTGTGCTTGTGGTCAGCTCCTCACCCCCCACCCCCCCCAGCCTCGGAGTCAGGCTCCACCACTGTTAAGCGCTCTTGAGACGCTATCCTGAGTAGAGGGTGCTTTATAAGTGCAAGTTGTTGTTGTATAAAGGTTGACATTACTAATTTAAATTTCACACTGTGGCAAGATGCAAGCGATAAAGCCAAACATTTAATGTAGAAATTTGATTTGTTGACCCACAAACAAATTTTGGAATACGAGTCAATGCAACTCATGTTGCCAAAAAGAACACGCTATGACCTAAATATAACAGCCATACAAAAAGTAAAGCACCTACCTTTATTTATCCGTACATCATTGAGAAATACAATTCAGTGCAATTGTAATGCTAATACATTATCCATAGTGGAATTACAAAGTGATTACTTTGTCAATGCTGCAATAGAATGTATGGAGCACAACTTGCATGCATAGATTGAAGATAGAAACTTAACAAAGCAAAGGAAAATGATGTTATATTTACACGTTCCATCTTGTTTTCCAGTTGTGTTGTGTGTATTTGAATGTTGGATCTCTAATTTTCAGTTCCACAATGCTATTCGTTTGTCCACCTGGTTACTTCACTTCATTGCCAGCAACTACCTCATCTTCAGTCAGAAGGTGGAATTTCAGGAGCTGTCTGGTAAGGTTTTAATTCCACTTAACTTTGAGGAATTAAACAGTGGTAAATAGACCCAGCTTAAAACCTCTTCAATGTGTTAAATCGTGGATTCAAAATATACACAAATTCGATGGAATATCATGTCTAAATAGACAGGTTGGTAAGACTCTCACCTCTGCTGCTTTTAAACCAGCCAGAAAATGAAAAAACCCTCATCCTCCTGGCTTTTGAAGAACAAAGTGTTAACCCTTTCAGATGTGTTTTCTGCTAGCGAGGCAATTTTCCATTCTTCATTTTACAGGGAATATTTGTAGGGATTGTATGATGGGTGGAATAAAACAGATAGACATGCTTTGTACATATTGAAGTATGTTCTTTCACTTATGCTCCTTCAAACAATCTTAATGTATGCCTAGATCTATGGTGAAAAAGCAAAAACTAGAATAGAAGGAGCTGCATGGTTAATTGTTCTCTGGGATATAAAGATCCATCATGACAGTGTTGCATATTCAAACGAAATCACAACCACAATGTAGCAACTGTTACTTTTCCACAGAGAACTCATTTGATCATTCACTAAGCGACAGTATTGTTCCGAAGGGAAGAAAGTTTTAATAAAACTGGTAGCCCATGGAGCTATATTTTATGCTTCCTGGTAAGCTCAGCAAGTATGAAAAGGCCGGCCAACAAATTTAATAGTGTGTTTGACTTAGCTCAGCAATACTGTAAATGAAATCAGATGAAGTTTCTTATGAAATAGGTACTTCTAGCATAGAAAAAACGTTTTGAAAACTCCCACTTATTTTGCACTCTAGATGATAGAAGTGAAGCTATGGCAATGATTGTTACATTTCCTGAATCTCTTTTCCTCTCCTACTCTGCCACCACCAGCACAATTCAAAATATCTACTATGGAAACCTGATCATTCATTCTCGTCAGTCACAGATAATTCCTGGTTTTGAGCCAGATGAAGAGAGCCTGACAAACCATGTTGACTGCAGGCGGGTAAACAAATCAAATCACTGCACGTTACAATAGTGGCCATAGGATCATTAATTTTAATATTTCTTTTGTACAGAAGAAGAGCAAGCTTTTGTGGAGAATCACAGATGGCCTTCAAGTGTGTACTTGCAGGAGCTGACAGAATACAGACATCACATGCACTCCAGGAGGTCTCGCTGCAGTCTCATGTAAATCACTCAGCAACCAACCCTTGGATACCTGTTGAAAGATTGAACATTTAAAGCTTGTACCTTTTTTTACCACATCCAGGTTTGATTATGCTAATTCCCCTCTCGCTGGACTTCCCAACTTTTCCTTCCACAAGCTGCAGATTATTCAGAAATCTGAAGCTCATGTCCTCTCCCGCACCAGGCTCTGAAAGCTGATCACCCCCACCCTCGCCTGGCTCCCCATCCCCCAGAGGAGCAAGTTTAGTCCTCGCTTTTAAAGCCCTCCATGGTCTTGCTCCTTCTTACCATTCTGACCCACTGACACCACACCAACCTATCTGCTCCCTCTGCTCAGCGGGCACTGGCCTGCTCCATATCCCCCACCCTGCCTGCCCCACCATTGGCAGTCAGGCCTTCAGCCTTTCTACCTCCATCCAGGAGCCCTTCCATCTTACCCCCTCCCTTACCTCAAGGCCCATCTCAAGACCTTCCTCTTTGACCATGTCTTCCTTCAGTCATCCTCCCACCCCCATCTTCTGCTCTTTTGATTCCAACCTGCTCAAACTCTTGGCTGTCCAGCACTATGGCACATCCTCCCAATGTGATTTTTTTTAAAAAAAAGCCTCAAATAGCTCAACAGGACTAGTGGGATGTGGCAGTTCATTGAGAGTTTAAAAGAACTGGTATCTCGCAGGCACAAGTGAGCTGGGAACCTGTGGAGTGTGTGCATGAAAAAGAAACCTTCTCTACAATACCGTGTGAAGTTCTTTGGGTCAAGCCTAAGCCAATCTTTGAACGAATTTAGGAACACTGCATTTGACAACCAAGCTGGGTTTCACCACAGTCACGATGACTACTTTGGCCCTTTGAAAATGAAGATTGTGGCTCATATTTTCAAGATGTTTAGAGTGCTATACGTTAATTGAAAATACACATTTTGTTTCTCTTTTAAATAGGCCTTGGATTTCAGAAAGGGCTAGGCATATCCTTAACACAGAAAATCCCACCTAATCCTGGCCATCTGGATCAATTACTGTGAAAGATGTGAAGATTCTATATCACATCTGTCACTGCACAATACGTAAGGCCCATGAAGCGAGGTCAAGCTATAAGAGAAAGGAAAGTATTACTACAGCAATCCCAGCCTGACAATTGGGAATGCAAGTGGACTTGCAGGAACTCTTATTTTTAAATATAATTGGCAGATTGTTTTAACAGTAGCATTAACACCACAATATTAAGGCATTACCACTCCTGAAAATTATTACAATGAATACCTATAGTGCTTTATCAAACTGCATCCACTAAGAGTTACTTTTTTGTTCAGTGTATATATTACCATTTAAGATGGTACACGTTGTACTCCATTGAATAGTTATTAAACCAGCTAGTATTAAAATGGCACAATATCAAATATACTTGAGATTGTTGCATTCTTTCTAATAGCAGATTGGGACCATACAATGTACAACAATCCTATCTTGTGATTGCACCTGCATCTCTCCAAAACGATCATAAGGGTCAGGGGGAAAGAGAGAAATAAATCTCTCGCTATCATTCTGGCCACACAAATGAATGGGAAACTGAACCCGTCAACAACAAACAGCGCCATCTCCTGCATTGATTTACCATTACACAACATAATCCATTTCAACAAAAAAATCATGATTCGAAAGAAAGTTTCCCTGTGTGTTCTGGGAACTGTGCATTTATACACTGGATCATCTGGTAATCACCGTAGATATATTAGACATTGAGACTGTAACCCCTTGTTTTGCAGCACACGTCTAATGTACGATACAGCACTTCTGACAATTCTATAACAGCAGCAAATTTACAGCTGTCTCTGCAAACCATCTCCCAGGTGCCGGATGATTAAGGCACTGAAATTAAGCACTAAGTATCCAGAGAGACAGGAGCCCATCGCTAAGAAATTTACAACAACCTCAATTTGTCACTACGTGCACAGTTTAGTCATAGCCAAATGGAAACGGTGTGGTCTCCACTGACACAGCCCTCAGCGAGGTCAAGTTATGAGAAACATGTCCATATGCCCACAGCAGCCATGGTATGCTGCTAGCAGTCCCTCACTAGGAGGCACTGGGCTCTTCTTCCTACTCTGGAACCAGTGATTTCACACCAAAACCACAGCAGAAGCTAAGAAGGTCAACAATCGCTCCAATGCCAAAATAAAACATACACTTGATATTGTGCTTTATCACATCATTGAAACATATCAAAGCACTTCATGGGATTTACTGTAAAGTGCAGTGACTGTGTATTTGTAGCGGAGCACAACAGCTAGTTTATGCATAATAACGTTGCACAAACTGCCATGAAATGAATACCAGGACACTAGGAGAAAATCCCTTCTCTTGTTAACTTTAATGTCCATCTAAACAGGGCTTGGTTGAATACAGGGTGGTCCGGCTGGCAGCTTTAAATGGCTCACAGTTGAAATTATAAAAAAAAATCCTTTGATATAGTGCCTTCATGTTGGGAGGGCAACTTAAAGCAGTTCATAGGATTTTAATAATAATAATCCTCGCATTTGATATAACGCCTTATCTAGTCTTCAAGGCGTCTCAAAGTGCTTCACAGAATATACAGTAAATTGAATTCACTGTATATTTTGTGGGCAAAACACAGCAGCCAATTGTGCACAGCAGTGTCCCACAAACAGTCGTGGATTGAGTGACCAAATTATTATTTTTTAAAATTTTATTTTTGAAGGGATTATTACTCTCAGAAAAGCGATCCACCAATTTACTAACAACCGGGTTCCTACTTACTGCTAGTAAAAAGAGGCGTGTGGAGTAAGGAAGCTTGCCTAATGTTTCACCCTGCCCAGGAATTGAACCGGGATCCTCTCGCTTGCGAGACGAGTGCTCTAACCAATATGCTACAGGGCTCCACAACTCTAGAACCCTTACAGTCAAACCCATAAAGATCTTCAGTAGGTTGGTTTGGAATGGATTCAATACGCAATAGGACTCCTTAGGAATTGAATTTGTCCACAAATATCCCTCGACAATTTGTTAATGAAGGATATGAGCCCCATCTTTCTACGTGCTCAGGAAATCTCAACACAGCAATTTATATTTTACCTGGTGTCATATGGCAGCTATGTTATGCAGCATGTCTTTAAGCTTTCCACTGCGTTCCAGCTGCTCAACATCTGAACCACCTCCGATACATTTCTCCCCGATGAAGACACGGGGAACCTACAAGAGAACAGAATTCACTAGAACTGTCAGGAAACACAAAAGATGACTCTTAATTCACCTCAGCTATTTAGTAGAAATCTTCCAACTCTAAAGGCATCTGAATCCACTGGTATATATGCCAGTTTTCATCATTCCAAACACTGCTATGTTCCAAGGGTTCGCTGGAGTTGGCAAATATAGAATGAAAATAGAGGACTGAAATATACATGCAATTTTTAAAAAGTTTTTATTATGCATAGTTAAGAACTCTAGAAGGTGAACAGGGGCATCTCCTCCATAGGGAACCATTTGAGATGAGAGGCTAATGAGATACCACAAAGATGTGCCTGCTGAGAGGAAGGAAAACTTTCATCCCTTGATGATGTGGCATGCTGGCAATCCACCTCAGAGACAGCCAGTCTAAGTTGGCTTAAAACTGAAGTGGTACACGCAAGATCCAGAATAATGGATAATGGATGCATTTAACACGGATGTTTTCAACCATAAGAAATCTATTTTCATAGCAGAATATTATTTGACCCATTGCAGGTTTTGGGCAATTTATACATTCGTTAAATCTGGTTACTTTGCAAAGACTTTAGTTGAATTTACAAACTGACACCCAATCCTTACAGACATTAACTACAGCTTTCATTTCTTCCAGGTTTGTTGCTGTTCTGATCGACAGCCTTTCAGACATCAATGTGCTTTGAAAATCTTTTTATCTTTTTCCTTGCTTCCTTTCCCTCTCTCTGTCTTTCAAAATCATAGCTAAAAACATACTTCTGCCACTTTGCTTTTGGTCAACATCCCTAATTCTCCCTTCTATGACAGTTCGTGAATTGCTTCAAGACTTTTATCCTGGAAAGATGAAAGGCAGAGGTGCAGGTTGTTACATAATGAAATCTTGCAAGAGGCTTATGGGAATTTAACTTGCCCAACCTTTAAAATCCATGTTAAGTGTGTGATTTTAATTCTGAACGATTTCTGCTCTCATGTTTAGCTATTACAGTGTCACAAGATTGAGTAATAATGAGCATGGACTCGGATCATCAGCAAAGTACTTATGGTGTGCGATCTGGCCTGGGCTTTGGCTAATAGATTCTGATTACTTCAAAACCAAACAATTATTCTCCAGTGTGATGTAATATAAAATGCAACATTTAGTCATTAATTCATGGTCTCTTCATTAATATATTCATGAAAAAACAATAAATAATCCTTGCATTTGACACAACACCTTTCACATCAGGAGGTTGTCTCAAAACACTTTACAAGATTTACTGTAACAAACAGTGTTTGTTATATGTGCAAAACAGTATTTTATATGTGCAGCCAAATTGCACACAGTAACATCTCACAATACTGCCATGAAGTGAGTGACCAGTTTTGTCTGGAAGATTGTTGTCCAGGACACTGGGAGAAATGTCCTTCTCTTCCGAATAGTGCCATTGGATCTTTAACGTCTACCTAAAAAAAGCAACTGAGACCTCAGTGTAAAGTTTCACTTGAAGAATAGCACCTCCAACAATGGTGTGTTTCCCAGCATTGTATTGTATCTAGACCAAGTTCAAAGTTACTACAAGTGGGGGAGAGAAATAAAGTGAAAGTATCAAGGTTTAGTTTGTTACGAAAAAGTTTATTTAAGAAAGTAAACATTCCCTTTTAGAGACTACACTCTACTTGTAACATTGGACCTGCAGGATTCATTATCATCTTCAATCAAGAATTAAATTTACACTCTGGAAGGTAGTAGTGAATAGACACGTACTAACTGGTTTGAGACGTTTGAGAAACTATCAGTTAAAAATACAATCTAACACACCATAACTAAAATGGCTACATTCAAGGCAGATCCTTGGAAGTATTGGTATGAATCTGTTCCATTCTGTGATGCAATTAAATTGAATGACAATTTCCCTGACAGTTCTTATCAAATTCATTAAAAAGTTTTGACAATATCTCAGGATTTATTAAGTGAGTAGCTAAGCTCAACGGTTTGTGCTTTTAACTGATCACAACCAGGTTGGCACAAGGATGTGATCAGCATGCATTACAACAACAACAACAAGATTGCATTTATAGAGCGCCTTTCACATCGGGTGGACATCCCAAGGCGCTGTACAGTTGGGTCAGGACCCGAGCAGGGGGAAATGGTCAGGGTGAGGGGAGGGAAGGGAGGGAGCGAGGAGGGGGTAGAGAGTCGAGAGGGGAGCTGAAGGCACGGTCAAAGAGAAAGGTCTTGAGACCGGCCTTGAAGGAGGAAAGGGAGGAGGCGGCGAAGGCACTGGGGGATAGAGCTCCATAGCCTCGGGGCTGAGAGGCTGAAGGCCCGGCCACCGATGGTAGGGCGGTTGGGGCGGGGGATGTGGAGCAGACCGGAGCCAGAGGAACGGAGGGTACAGGAGGTAAGTAGGGGGATAGTAGGTCGGAGAGGTAGGAGGGAGCAAAGCTGTGAATGGCCTTGTAGGTGAGGATGAGGATCTTGAATTAGTGGATCCATATCAAATTACTGGAGGGGTAGTTTTGTGCAGAGCTGAGGGTAGGATTGGGTTCAACTCTAAGAATCCTTACAATTAAATAACTTAACCAACATTTTCCATCAATGATCACATACACGTACTGTCACTTGGACAATTAACCAGTGAGTGACCAGCATCTGTTAAACTATTCCCCAGTAGGTGGTGTTAAAATAGAGTGCCTTAAAGAGACATTAGGAAAGAAAAGAAAGGGGAGGGGAGAAATTAATCAAAGATGTGATAAGGCACTATATCAAAAAATGCAAAGATTATTAACATTATGATTGATGATGGGTATCTATCTGGAAGAGGAGTAATAAAGCACCATCACTGCTGGGGCAGTAACCAACTCGTGGAGTCCTACAGCTCAGCGGTTAGAGCACTCGCAAGCGAGAGACCTGAGTTCAATTCCCGGCAGGGCGCAACCTTGAGCAAGTTTCCTTACTCCACACACCTAATAATAATAATCCTTCCTCCAAAAAAACCAATAATAAATTAGTCACTTCAATCCCCGACTGTTTGTGGGACACTGCTGTGCGCAATTGGCTGCCGCGTTCGCCCACAAATATACAGTCAATTTACTTTACAGAGTGTTCTGTAAAGCGCTTTGGGACGTCCTCCCGACGTGAAAAGCGCTATATCAAATGCAAGGATTATTATTATTATTATTATTATTATTTAAAGCTTACCAAGTTACCAGTAGGTGGAGTTAAAACAGGATTTTTCGGAATTATGTAACTGATGTAACTGCCCCCCCAAACCCTCTCTATCCTCCCCACCAGCCTTTCGTGACCCTCAGTGAATGAAGGAGGAGGCTTTATGGAGACTATTGTAAGGATTGCTGTGATTCAAAAATATAAAACCAATTGAAGGCACGTGAAAACATGGGCAACATTTGCCAGAGATCTGAAACACTGTGCCATCCCCGGGGCACACAGAGCACAAGAGCAGCGTCAGAGAGCGCACAAGTTAATAGCAATAATGTGGGTTGAGGATGAAATAGTATTAAAGACGAACTCACCGTCCGGGCTCCTGTTTTTTGCTGTAAATAATCCTGCACACTGCTTGCCTCGGGGTGGCTGGTTATGTCATGGATCTGCAGTCGCCCAGCCTTGAACTGGTATTTATTCAGCACCTTCTGCGCTGATATGCAGAAAGGACACGTAGGTTTAATGAAAAGGACTACTTTATCGAAAGAGATTCTACTCTCTACAAATTGCTGGGCCATTCCTTCCCTCTTCTTCTGCTCTCTCGGGCAATGACACAGCACACGTCACAACCTCCCACTGCCCTCACACACACACACACTGGGAGGAGGAGTCTGAAGCTGTGAAGCTTCCTGTTCAACCTACCGGAATCAGACTGAGGGGAGCGCAGTGTGTACACACGAGCAAACTGGGGAGCGCAGTGTGTACACACGAGCAAACTGGGGAGCGCAGTGTGTACACACGAGCAAACTGGGGAGCGCAGTGTGTACACACGAGCAAACTGAGGGGAGCACAGTGTGTACACACGAGCAAACTGGGGAGCACAGTGTGTACACACGAGCAAACTGAGGGGAGCACAGTGTGTACACACGAGCAAACTGGGGAGCACAGTGTGTACACACGAGCAAACTGGGGAGCACAGTGTGTACACACGAGCAAACTGAGGGGAGCACAGTGTGTACACACGAGCAAACTGGGGAGCACAGTGTGTACACACGAGCAAACTGGGGAGCACAGTGTGTACACACGAGCAAACTGAGGGGAGCACAGTGTGTACACACGAGCAAACTGAGGGGAGCACAGTGTGTACACACGAGCAAACTGGGGGGAGCACAGTGTGTACACATGAGCAAACTGGGGAGCATAGTGTGTACACACGAGCAAACTGGGGAGCACAGTGTGTACCCACGAGCAAACTGGGGAGCACAGTGTGTACACACGAGCAAACTGAGGGGAGCACAGTGTACACACGAGCAAACTGGGGAGCACAGTGTGTACACACGAGCAAACTGAGGAGCACAGTGTGTACACCCGAGCAAACTGAGGGGAACACACTATATACATGAGCAAACTAAGGGAAACAGAGTGTGTACACACGAGCAAACTAAGGGGAACACACTGTATATACATGAGCAAACTAAGGGGAACACAGTTTGTATATACATGAGCAAACTAAGGGGAAAACACTGTAAATTCATGAGCAAAACAAGGGGAACACAAGTGTATATACATGAGCAAACTAAGGGGGGGGACAGTGTATATACATGAGCACGCTAAGGGGAACACAGTGTGTGTATACATGAGTAAACTAAGGGGAACACAGTGTATATACACAAACAAACTAAGGGGAACAGAGTGTATATACACGAGCAAACTAAGAGGAACAGAGTGTGTACACACGAGCAAACTAAGGGGAACACACTGTAAATACATGAGCAAACTAAGGGGAACACAGTGTATATACATGAGCAAACTAAGGGGAACACACTGTATATACATGAGCAAACTAACGGGAACACACTGTATATACATGAGCAAACTAAGTGGAACACACTGTATATACATGAGCAAACTAAGGGGAACACACTGTGTGTATATGAGCAAACTAAGGGGAACACAGTGTATATACATGAGCAAACTAAGTGGAACACAGTGTATATACATGAGCAAACTAAGGGGAACACACTGTATATACATGAGCAAGTTAAGGGGAACACAGTGTGTATATGTGTGGACGTGGAGTCCTGTAGCTCAGTGGTTAGAGCACTCGCTTTGCAAGTGAGAGACCCGAGTTCAATTCCAGGCAGGGCAAAACCTTGGGCAAGTTTCCTTACTCCACACGCCTAATAATAATCCCTCCAAAAAACAAAAACAATAATTAAATTGGTCATTTTCAATCTACGACTGTTTGTGGGACATTGATGTGCGCAATTGGCTGCCGCGTTCGCCCACAAATATACAGTCAATTCACTTTACAGTGTGTTCTGTGAAGCGCTTTGGGACGTCCTCCTGACGTGAAAAGCGCTATACCAAATGCAAGGATTATTAACACACTGTATATACATGAGCAAACTAAGGGGAACACAGTGTATATACATAAGCAAATTAAGGGGGGGACAGTGTATATACATGAGCACGCTAAGGGGAACACAGTGTGTGTATACATGAGTAAACTAAGGGGAACACAGTGTATATACACAAGCAAACTAAGGGGAACACACTGTATATACATGAGCAAACTAAGGGGAACACACTGTATATACATGAGCAAACTAAGGGGAACAGAGTGTGTACACACGAGCAAACTAAGGGGAACACACTGTATATACATGAGCAAACTAAAAGGAACACATTGTATATACATGAGCAAACTAAGGGGAACACAGTGTATATACATGAACAAACTAAGGGGAACACACTGTATATACATAAGCAAACTAAGGGGAACACACTGTATATACACGAGCAAACTAAGGGGAACACATTGTATATACATGAGCAAACTAAGGGGAACACAAGTGTATATACATGAGCAAACTAAGGGGAACACAGTGTATATACATAAGCAAACTAAGGGGATCACAGTGTGTACACACAAGCAAACTAAGGGGAACACACTGTATATACATAAGCAAACTAAGGGGAACACACCGTATATACATGAGCAAACTAAGGGGAACACAAGTGTATATACATGAGCAAAGTAAGGGGAACACAGTGTATATACATAAGCAAACTAAGGGGATCACAGTGTATATACATGAGCAAACTAAGGGGAACACACTGTATATACATGAGCAAACTAAGGGGAACACAGTGTATATACATGAGCAAACTAAGGGGAACACAGTGTATATACACGAGCAAACTAAGGGGAACACAAGTGTATATACATGAGCAAACTAAGGGGAACACACTGTATATACATGAGCAAACTAAGGGGAACACAGTGTATATACATGAGCACGCTAAGGGGAACACAGTGTATATACATGAGCAAACTAAGGGGAACACAGTGTATATACACGAGCAAACTAAGGGGAACACAGTGTATATACATGAGCAAACTAACGGGAACACAGTGTATATACATGAGCAAACTAAGGGGAACACAAGTGTATATACATGAGCAAACTAAGGGGAACACAGTGTATATACATAAGCAAACTAAGGGGAACACAGTGTATATACATGAGCAAGCTAAGGGGAACACAGTGTATATACACTAGGAAACTAAGGGGAACACACTGTATATACATGAGCAAACTAAGTGGAACACACTGTATATACATGAGCAAACTAAGTGGAACACACTGTATATACATAAGCAAACTAAGGGGAACACACTGTATATACATAAGCAAACTAAGGGGAACACACTGTATATACATGAGCAAACTAAGTGGAACACACTGTATATACATGAGCAAACTAAGGGGAACACACTGTGTATATATGAGCAAACTAAGGGGAACACAGTGTATATACATGAGCAAACTAAGGGGAACACAGTGTATATACATGAGCAAGCTAAGGGGAACACACTGTGTGTATATGAGCAAACTAAGGGGAACACAGTGTATATACATGAGCAAACTAAGGGGAACACAAGTGTATATACATGAGCAAACTAAGTGGAACACAGTGTATATACATGAGCAAACTAAGGGGAACACACTGTATATACATGAGCAAGTTAAGGGGAACACAGTGTGTATATGTGTGGACGTGGAGTCCTGTAGCTCAGTGGTTAGAGCACTCGCTTTGCAAGTGAGAGACCCGAGTTCAATTCCAGGCAGGGCAAAACCTTGGGCAAGTTTCCTTACTCCACACGCCTAATAATAATCCCTCCAAAAAACAAAAACAATAATTAAATTGGTCATTTTCAATCTACGACTGTTTGTGGGACATTGCTGTGCGCAATTGGCTGCCGCATTCGCCCACAAATATACAGTCAATTCACTTTACAGTGTGTTCTGTGAAGCGCTTTGGGACGTCCTCCTGACGTGAAAAGCGCTATATCAAATGCAAGGATTATTATTATTATTATTATTATTATTATATGCATGAGCAAACTAAGGGGAACATTTCTACAGATGAAACAATGCTTCATCTGTAGAAATGCTTCTTGTATATTTCAAACCTTAGAATGATTGAAATAAGATGAAATAAGGAATCTAATAAGTAACCATCATACAATGTCTTTCATTGTTAAATATTTTATAAAATTTTTCCTAAAATTCTGTAAAAACTGCCTAAATAGTGATTGCCATTTTAAACAGAATTTATTATTATTATATTATGGAAGGGCAATTTATTGGTGAGGAATTTTGAAATTACTGCTGGGGAGTTCTTAGGGGCTGGTGGGGTTTTCCCCCACCACTTTATGCTGTATATTTAAAAATATGTCCTGGGGTGGGTGGTATATGGGGAAAGTGAAGGAGAGTATATTTGTAAAAAAATCAGTTTAATCCAATGTCTGGGTGAGGGAGGGGAGAGGGGGAAGAGAGAGAATGAAAAGTGAGGCTGTTGAAACCAACATGGACTTGTATTGCAAAATGTCAGCCACTAGATAGCAGCAACGTATTTTCAGTAACCCAGCAAGTGGTCTGACATTTTAGATACAGTACATTTAATATTTACCTTGAAGTTCAAGATCATGTCGAATTTTGGAAATGTTTTAATTCAGTCTTAATTCGAAAACTGATTTTCCACGTTTCTTAAAATGTTTCGGTTTAGACCACAAGGTCAATTGTGTTGGTCCAGGTCAGCGTCCAAATTATCAGAGATTGTAATTTAAGTGTAATTCGTTGTCAGCTTGGCTCTTGCTTCTGGTCAGAAAGTTTTGCACTGGGACTTTTAAACTCACAGGCTGAAATTCCAGTGCTTGGGAAGGCGGAAGGGGGGAATCCTACTTGCTTAGAGGTGGTTTCCTTTGGATGAGACATTAAACTGAGGTCCTGTCTTTCATCTAACAAGTGGGTATTAAAGATTCCTATCTCACTATTCGAAAAGAGAAGAGAGTTTCTCCTGGTGTCCTGGCCAACAGTTCCCCAAATAAAATAGTCATTCATTTCATGGCTGTGTGTGGGACATTGCTGTGCACAAATTGACTGCCTCATTTGTCTACAAATACAAAGGCACTGCACTTGATAGTAAAATCTTTGAGATATCTGAATGACATGATCTCAATGACAAGGTTTTAGCTGCTTAGACCCCAACACACACTCTGGGTCTTCAAGCCTTGGCTGTTGCGAACCTGCAGA